CCACTCCAAGTACCTACCCACTTAGCCACTCCAAGCACCTACCAACCGAGCCACACCAAGCACCTACGCGTCGAGCCACTCCAAACACCTACCGACCAAGCCACTCCAAGCATCTACCGACCGAGCTACTCCAAGCACCTATACTGATCGAGCCACTCCAAGCACCTATACTGTCCGAGCCACTCCAACCACCTATACCGACCGAGCCACTCCAAGCACCTATACCGACCAAGCCACTCCAAGCACCTACCAACCGAGCTACTCCAAGCACCTTCCCACCGAGCCACTCCAAGCACCTACCGACCGAGGACTCCAAGCACCTATACCGACCGAGGCACTCCAAGCACCTATAACGACCGAGGCACTCCAAGGACCTACCGACCGAGGCCCCGTGGGCGCTCTCTCTCGTTTTCGGGCGCGCTGTGAACAATTCGGCACGCGCACCTCTCTGCACGCCCCCCCTCCCTCGATCGCCTTCATCCGCAGGCCCGCATCAAAACTTCAACCCAATTCCGACGTGCGGCAGAACACCGGCCTCCCCCCGCGGCCAATGTTGCTTAAGGGGTAGGATATAATAATTATATGAACTGTGGGATGGTGGGAYGATGAGTCAGGTCATTTTCGACGTGAGTGAATTTTTGCGAGCGTCGTCGAATCATACTTTATTCTGGATTATTGACCGACTCTCGTGTGACACTTGTCGGGACAGAGACACGGTGCGCCTTGGCTGTGGAATGCATCATCTATGCCATAGCCATTATCAATCTATTGCGACTGCCGCCGTCTGTCCTAAAGGGTGTCCAACATTTCCTCATTGTACACATCCCTATCACCCAGATATACGTTGTCCCTATTGTGCCCAAGGACGCTATCAGAACTATATGATGCCGCACTATGATGAACGTCCTGCTGTGTTTTTGACATGTGGACAACATGTCCTCTGTCAGGACTGTTTTGATGGGATGGTTTGTGCTAGCTGTCCTGCAGAATGCTGTGCTGACGCAACTCTCCTTGGGCATCCTTGTGAACATCCACATCATCCTCACCGTAGCTGTCCTATCTGCCGAGGTGGGGACAGGTAAAGAGAAAAAAAAAAAAAAAAAAAAAAAAAAAAAAAAAAAAAAAAAAAAAAAAAAAAAAGAAAAAAAGAAAAAAAGAAAAAAGATACGTTGATCTGTGGGATGTGTTATTTGCTTTGTGATAATTGGATTATCTTTCTTTCCCTATCTTTCTTTCCCTGTCAGGTTTGGTTTCCTCCTCCCCTTCTTTACCTCTTTGCCTTTTGGCTGCGTGCAAGTGGGTCCTTGTGACACACGGGGATGGGG